GATAGAAAATAGTAGGCAATGAAGTGCAGTGATTTCTAAAAGATGGAAAGAAACATGGTGATGTTAACCTAAAAATAAAAAGCCAAAACGAAAGGCATTGAATGTTTATTTGAAATTTAAAGAGAGAGAGAGAGAGAGAGAGAGAGAGAGAGAGAGAGAGAGAGAGAGAGAGAGAGAGAGAGAGATTGGCAATTCAGAGACCCCAGATTCAGACAGAAACTCAAATAGTGTTCCAATTACAGGGTGAGAGCAAGAGGTTTTTATGAGAAAAGAAAGGAAATAATCCCATGAATAAAAGAAAGAAATGTCTATGAATGCTAATAACCTGAGTTACTCTTTAGCTATACAAGGCTGGTTACTGATTCTGTCATCAGAAAAAGATTTCATAATCACTAGTCCTTGTGGTGAGGATATCTGCTTTCCTGTTAGCTTTGTAAACAGTTATTTGTAGGACTGTGTTGGTTTGGTCCAACCCAAAGGTTATTTTTCCTAGTTCCAATATTCCAAAGTTTCAAGGAATAAGATGTACAAGGCAATTTATCTAGAATAGTTACTCTGGCTCCAGTTTAAAATGTCTCATCTGAGGTCAACTTTTCACAGTAGCAAGCCCAATGATTGCCCCAGTTTATTAAATTGAGAGCAATTTTAAAAATTGAAACTGTAGCCCTCCTTCGTTTGGCTGCGTGGGTCAGCCAGCAGGTAGAGGGTCCCTGGATTCCAGTCCAGGGCATTTGCCTGAGTTGCAAGCTCGATCCCCACTATGAGGCCTGCAGGAGGCAGTCCACCAATGACGCTCTCTCATCATTGATGTTTCTATCTCTCTCTCCCCCTCCCAACCTCTCTGAAATCCATAAAAATACTTTTTTTTAATTGAAGTTGTAGTTAAAAACTATCCTCCAAATAAAAATTCTAGTTTGATTCACTAGTGAGTCACTACCAAACATTTAAGTGAAAACTTAATAGCAATTCTACATGAACTTTTTCAAGAGATTTTAAAGGAGGAAATATATCCTAATTTAATCAATGAAGCCAGTATAAAGTTGGTATTAAACCAGACAAAAACATGCCCTAACTGGTTTGTAGCTTGGTTGCGGGCACATCTCCAGTAAGGAGTGTGCAGGAAGCAGCTGATTGATGTTTCTCTCTCATCAATGTTTCTAACTCTCTCTCCCTCTCCCTTCCTCTCTGTAAAAAAAAAAAATCAATAAAATATATATTTAAAAAAAACAGACAGAAACAGAACAACAACAAAAAAAGACTACAGGACAATATCTATTGTGAACACAGATACAAAATTTTTAAGTAAAATTTTAGTAAATTCAATTTAACAAATAATCAAAAAGAAAAAGACCACATTATCCCAGAATGAAAAGCTGATAAACATTAAAAAATAAATCAATGTAATTTATTATATTAACAAACCAAAAAGAAGAATATAAATATTTATATATGTTTATATTTATATATGTGCATATATATTTATATGTGTGTGTGGGTGTGTGTGTATATATATATACATATATATAAAGTCACATATCAATAGCTACAGAAAAAAACATTTGACAAAACCAACCATTTATTCCTGATAACAACACCTCATCAATTTTTCTCAGCCAGATTAAGGACATCTAAGAAAACCTATAGGTTATATTATCCTTAATAACTAAAGGCTGAATGACTTCCTCTGAAGATCAGGAACTAAACAAGGAGTTAGATTTTTTTAAATATAATTGATATTGATTTAGCAGAAGCCTGAAAAGGGTTAAGAATTAAGAATAAGTTTATAGAAAGTTTCACTTTTTCAAATACGACATCATTTAATAACTTTACATTTAATGGGAAAACTATAGTAATGGTTTGGTCTCTCCTAGACCCTTCACATCAAACATAACAAACCAAAGACTTCCCAAAAAAATTTATAAAAATAATCAATAAATGATTTGGAAACTTTTAGAATGTTTTGTGTTTGAAAAAAAAACTTCATTAGCTAAGCAGGTTAGCATGGAGGTACTAAAAGGTGCTATTTTGTACTATTGATTTATTTACTGATATATAAGCATTTTCATATAATTATAATTGAGCAAGCTGTTGAATATTTTGATTATCACCTTTTTTAATAACCATTACAGCAATTGAACTACAAACTAAAACTCTTCCCATAACGAAAACTCCTTGTCTAGATGGCAACTCCCCTCAGTTCTTGCAAAACTTCAAGGAGGTAATAATTTCAATATTATAGAATAACAATACCTTCTTCAAAATAAAATGGGAGGAAAAAAAAACTTTTACATCTTTCAATGATATTAAGACAAGCAAACCTGAGTTTAAAATGCCATGATTAGTATGAGGAAACTACATAATGCTTTGTCAGATGTTTAACAAGCACACACTTTTAAATAACATTTAGGAAAACCCTGTGACAATGCATCTCAAAATAAGACAAATTCTGATATATTGGTAAATACTTCCCATTTTCTGTTCATCCCTTTTCTGAAACAGGGAATGAGATTGTACAAGACATTCTTGATGAGGGAAAAGAACAAAAGATGAGGAAGGTAAACAGTGCTGACAACAACAGACAATCACATCTCAGAAGATGTGGGGTTATTTCTAACCAATCTCCCCTGCTCAGGACTATAGAAATGGGGTGAGAACTAAGTAATTAGGAAATACTTTTAATTCCCAACTATTGTTCTGAAGTCCCATTCCAGTAGATTTAGTTAGAGCGGGCAGCAGCCACCAGGTGGCAGCGAACTGTAGCTGCCCCCAGGGTTTGCTTCTAGAACTGCTGAGCAGTTCTTTACATCCTTGTCTGGGTCATAACATTCTATTTATTTTCCTAATCTGTTTCCTCATATTTTTTTTAACTCATTTGGATACTGATTTTAAGGTGTTTAAAGGAAAGGAAGTTTTTTACATAAGTCAAAAAGAGTCACTGCCACATAATCTTTGCCTCTGCAGTTTTGAATATCAGAAAATTCTGTGTTCCAAAACTTGCTCTAGTTGTTACCGGCAATCTAACATGAAGCACATTACTTAAAGCTTCTAAGATACAATTTCTATACTCATAAAATATATTAATTGAAATTATACATTCAATCAATACCCATAATAGCCTAGGTGGTCATCACACCCTCACATGACACATCATAATGTCATCACAAGATGGCTGTCACAAGATGGCCACACTTAGTGGAGGCAAGGGCCTGGTGGAGGAGGCAGATCGTGGCAGGGGAGGGCAGTGGTGGGCGATCAGGCCAGCATGGAGGGCAGTGGGGGTGATCAGGCCAGCAGGGGAGGGAAGTTGGGGGTGATCAGGCCAGAAAGGAGCAGTTAGACGGCAATTAGGCTGGCAGGCAGAAGTGGTTAGGGGCAGTCAGGCAGGCAGACAGGTGAGCAGTTAGGAGCCAATGGTCCTGGATTGTGAGAGGGATGTTGGACTGCTGGTTTTAGGCGCAATTCCTACAGACCTAAACCGGCAGTTGGACATTCCCTGAGGGGTCCCAGATTGGGAGGGTGCAAGCCGGGCTGAGAGACAACCCACCCATGCATGAATTTCATGTGCTGGGCCTCCAGTCCATATATAATAATCCCTTCATGAAAGGTCTTATTTGAAAAATAAAGAAATACATGAAGCCCTGGCCAGTGTGTTTCAGTGGCTGAATGTCCTATGCATGGAGAGGTCTATTGGTTTGATACCTTGTCAGGGTACACACCCGAATTTCTGACTCAATCCCCAGTAGGAACTGTGCAGAAGACAGCTCATACATGTTTTTCTATCTCACTCTCTCTTCTTCTCTCTCTCTAAAATCAATAAAAACATAGTTTTTAAAAATTAAAAAAAAGAAATGCATGAATACTTTATAATTGAGTTAATATTTACTTGGTGTGTCAATTTCCTCATTTGAAAATAGTCATAAAAATTACAAATGGCATATAGTACCTATCTTTTATATGTCATCTTATAAAATGTACTTGTGGCTCAATGCATGAGATTTGTGCATGGGTAAGGTCCCCAGCAGCTGCTGGCTGATGACCAGGGCCTCCCTTCATTCCGTGCCGACCCTTGTGGTCAGTGCACATTATAATGAGCAATCAAACTCCTGGTTGGTCAAACTACCAAGGGGACACTTTACATATTAGGCTTTTATATATATAGATCATTTTATATTCAAAAGAAAATGAGAAAATAAAAATTAGTAGAATGTTATTGATACACTTTCCATGTGAAAAAATTGCCTCCCTCATAATATATTATGGGTTCCTTTTTATAGGAGTTTTAATTCTAAAGATGATAATCCTCAGAATATAAACTTGGATATTTAAAAAAGATTAGGCCTTTTATTGGAAAGTGTTCTATGTAATCATTACCATTCTGTTTTGTCAACCACACAATGGGCTGTTATCCTTTCCAAACAAATATCAGCTTAGTTGCTTTGTAGAATGAAAAAAATAAAAAAAATAATTTGCACAGACCAATATTATTTTAATTATTATGAAATAACAGCTCTTAATATTTACTTCTTTTTTAAATATATTTTATTGATTTTTTACAGAAAGGAAGAGAGAGGGATAGAGAGTTAGAAACATGGATGAGAAAGAATCATCCATCAGTTGCCTCTTGCACACCCCCTACTGTGGATGTGCCCTCAACCATGGTACATGCCCTTGACCGGAATCGAACCCAGGGCCTTTCAGTCCGCAAGCCAACTCTCTATCCACTGAGCCAAACCGGTTTGGGCAATATTTACTTCTTAATCAAAGTAAAATTGAAATGATAATATTAGCACATCATAAATTATGAACACATGACTTTGTATATTCTAAACAAATAAAGTAATGATATATAGGCCTATATTGTTATAAACATTATTTTATAAAATATTAAAATATGTGTTGCCATATTAAAAAATATCTTTAATATAATAATTTTACAAGAACAAATGTAACTTGAACCCTTAGAAACAAAATTTTTGTGCTATATAATGATTTCACAAATGTCAGTGAGAGAATCTTTTTCTGCATAATATACTTCTCACGGCATCTTTCACATCTCTGTTTCTCAAGCTGTATATCAGAGGGTTTAGCATTGGTATTATAAGTGTGTAGAGCACAGCTACAATCTTGCTTTGCTGCGGTGAGGAGATGGCTCTCGGTTGGGCATACATAAAGAACACCGTCCCATAGAATAAACTCACCACTCCTATGTGGGAGCCACAGGTAGAGAAGGTCTTACTCCTGCCGTGGGTCGAGGGGATCTTCAGGACAGTGGAAAGGATATAAGCATAGGAAACCAGAATGACTGCTGTGGTGGTGAGGATGATGAGAGCAGAGAGAATGAACAGTACAATCTCATTCACAAAGGTGTCAACACAGGAGATCTTGATCAGGGCTGGGACATCACAGAAAAAGTGGTCCAATCTGTTTTCTCCACAGAAATGCAAACTGAAGGTGAAACTCGTTTGGACTATGGAGTTGATGCTTCCACAGACATAGGATCCAGTTACCAAGTGAACACAGACTTTCTGGGACATGTGCACAGGGTAAAGGAGAGGGGAGCAAATGGCGGAGAATCGATCAAATGCCATGACAGCCAGAAGAAAGCCTTCAGTTGTCACAAATAGGGCAAAGAAGAAAAACTGGGCCACACAGCCACTGTAAGAAATTTTCTTTTCATTGGATAAGAAGTTGGCTAAAGTTTTGGGAGCGATGACTGTTGAGTAGCAGAGATCTAAATAGGACAAGTTGCTAAGGAAGAAATACATAGGTATTTGAAGTCTGGAGTCACTCTTTATGACAATTATCATGCTGATATTTCCCACCACAGTGACCATGTAGATGAGCAAGAATACTAGGAATAAAAGGATCTGTAGTTCTGAAGGGATTCTGAACCCTAGTAGAATAAACTCAGTCACCTCTGAGTAATTCCTATTTAGCTCATTCTTCATAGCTGAGATATAGATGGAACTGAGGAGATGGTAAAAATGAAAAAATTAAGTGACCAGAATACTGTTCTAATACAAATAACTAGGAATCAGCATGAAAAAAGTTTCACATCATATTGTTCCCAATACTTTACAAAACACCAATGAACATAAAGAATGAATCACTGCCACATAGGAACAGACTCATAGATACAGAGAACAAACTAGTAGTTGCCAGAGGGGCAAGGAATTGGGGGGCTGGGAGAAAAGATAAAGGTATTAAGAAGTACAAGTTGGCATAATAAAATAGTCATGGGGGTGTAAAGCACAGCATAGGGAATATAGTCAATAACATTGCAATAACTGTGTATAGAGCCGGTTGAGTAGTTGAAATATCAGGGGGAATCACTTTGTAAAGTACATGATGTCTAACCACAATACTGTGTACCTGAAACTAATAAAAATAAAATTGAATATAAACTGTAATTGGAAAATAAATAAATAATAATTACTATTATTCTTTTTAAAGAATAATTACTATTTAAAGAATAATTACTATTTTTTAAAAATCTTCCTAGTGAAAAATTCAATTGGGTTAGCCCTTTTAGATATCCCTATTTGCAAATAATGCAGATTTTCCCTCTAATTGTGCTTTGAAGAAATGAAAATTCCAGGTAAACATCTGGGGGGAAAAAAGAATTTCTTTTCTTTTTCTTTCTTGATGAGTTTACTGCCATTGAAAGCTGCTTCCTTTAGTGAAAGACATATCTCATGGATATTGTAATCCACTTGAGAATATATTTAAAGTAAAAATTGGTTCAATTGATGGTCTCTCGTTTTATTTTTAAATAATTATTTAATCTACTACAAAAAATAACACGGTAACACTGTATCTATCTTTCTTACATAAGGAAAAAGATTTCAAATCCTGCCAAAAGCATCATCCTTTTACACATTAACCTCGTGTTCTTATTTCTTCCATTATCTTTATCTCTATAGAGATACACCCTCTTAGTGACACAGTTGATCTGCTAAAAACAGAAGTGATTCTTATATTTCCTAACTCAATGAAACCAGACTTTTATTGTTTGTTTCCTTCCTTCCTTCCTTCCTTCCTTCCTTCCTTCCTTCCTTCCTTCCTTCCTTCCTTCCTTCCTTCCTTTCTCTTTTGTTTTCTTTGAATTTTGCAGATAGGAATGCAAGTGGAGAATTCCAAGATCTTGGGAAGAGATTTTCCTGTCTTTTCAGAAATGCAGACATCTGTGCCTATGAAGGACAGAAGGCTCACAGAACAATATAAAGATAGTTACAAGTGAAGAAAAGGAAAGACATATATATTTAAGCAAACTTGCATTATATTTATTTAGACTTATGTTATTATGATTTTAAAATGTCCTTAAATAACATATATTAGAAAGGTAGAGAAAAAATTTGTTCTAATTTTATAAGTAGGAAAATTGAGACAAGATTTAAGAACTTTATTTATAGTCATAAGATTGACTAGCATAGTGGTTTATTATTGAATAATCTGTCATACAATGTAAAAAACTGACAAGCGGTAAATTTGTGAAAATATGTTATACAATAGTTGTATAATTATAAAATTGAGAATTCAGTATATGTAAATGTATCCATACATTATATAAGTATAATAAAATTATAAACTATAAAATGTCTCTTGCAATTTGTGTTGTTGTTGTTGCTATAATTTTACTAATTTTGACTTTATTTTAAAATAAAATGGAACTATGGAAGTACATTAGAATCAATTTGGTTGTATATTAGAATCAATTCAATATCTTCTTTTCTGAAAAAATTAGAAGTTAATAGTATTGTTGACCGATTAATTTTAAAAAGCTGATGAATGCTCAAAAATAAACTCTGGTAGGGCCTATCAGCTACAAAAATACATGTTTTCCTTCAATTCATATTTTACATAAGCCAAGTTTCTAGTTTAAAGAGAAAAACTGGAGGGAAATATGTAACTGATGCTATCTGAAAGAGAAGACTGTTGAAAATAAACAAATTAAATGTAAGAGACATTTTCAAGCATGGAAGCTACTTCTTACCTTAGTTAACATTCATGAAGAAACAAAAGTATGAAAAGAAGCAAACCTTTGTTTAACAGAAAGTTGTTCTGCAACATGTATTACATTTCTTCACTCCTCAGACCATGGCTCAGAATTCCTAAGCTGAAGAAGCACCAGCAAAAAATTTAGCTTCTCTCTCTCTGTCTTTCTGAAATATACTGTACTTTTTTATTGATTAAACCAACAAATAGACCTGGGATGGGTTCTGAGAGAAATGTTCCCATGGGGATGGAAACCAGAGCAGTGGGCATTCCCTTTACAAGATAGAGACTAAGGTCTCTCCCAACAGTAATGTCTTTTGTATCATAATGCAAAAGGGGGGTGGGGGTGGGAGCGGTGCAAGGAAGGGAAGGAGGGAGGAAGAAAGGGAGAAAGAAAGGTATTATAAATTAGTAAGTTCGCCAAACTTTTAGAAAGTTAATAGGGCTCTCTAAATGTGATAACTAACCTTCTACTTACAAAACAAAATAATTAAAAACAAAATACATTTGAATGAGAATCACCTGATTCTTTATTTTCATGATTTATACAGATAAACATTCATGAGATTTTATTTAAATGGATTAATACTCTTACTTTTAGAAACTTGTTTCTTATCTGTACTATAAATACACCAGCAGAGATAAGAAATGAAGGGTTGAGTAAAAATTTTTTAAAGAGAAAATTCATGGACATGGACAGCAGAGTGGTGATTGTTAGGGGAAACGGGGTGTGGAGGTGGAAGAGGGCATAGAGGAGATAAATGGTGATGAAAAATAATAATTTAATTTATTAAATAACTTTAAAAATAAAAATAGAAAATATTTTTCCCCAAAGGTGTTTTTGTGGTTTGTTTGTTTTGGCCTTGGAAGGCAAATATTACAGTAACTTTCATGAGTAAGTGTTAAAGCATCTTGATTATTTTTATAAATATTAAATGGCCTTTACATTTGTAGTATAAACATCACTTCAGGAAGATTTAACTGTTCTTCTTATATTGAAGTATTTTGTTTGTTAATATACCATTTTGAATTTTTATGTTAAATATATAGAAGAGATGTATCTACAATTTTTTATTTTAACATCTATAAGAGACTTATAATAGATAGAAGTATTTCCTTTATGACTATTCCTAAAAGAGTTTATGTAAAAATGGTCACATCTCTTCCTTAAACATTTTAAAGTAAACACTGGTGAAGCCAGTGGGAATATTATTAATAAAATTTTAATTTCTTTAATAGATATTTTAAAATTTATATCTCTCTTTTGCATACCAACTTATTTTATTTAAAATATTTTAATTTAAGAAGCAAATTTTTGGTAAAAATAATTTACTATATTCTTTTTTTAATATCAGGAGGACCTACAGTGACATTAGTTTTCATTCCTGATATTTATGAGTTATGTTGTTTTTCCTTTGTTAAATTAGCTAGGGTTATATATATCTTACTAATCTTTCTTGATCATGGTGTATGAGATATTAAAAATATCATACACCATGATCAAGTGGGATTTATTCCAGAGATGCAAGGCTGGTAGAATATTCATAAATCAATAAATGTGACTCATCACATAAACAAATTGAAAGACAAAAATCACATGATCATATCAATAGATGCAGAGAAAACATTCTACAAAATTCAACGCCCATTTTTTATAAAACTCTCAGCAAAATGGGAATAGAGAGAGCATATATCAACATGATAAAGGCCATATATGACAAATCCATAGCCAGCATCATACTAATGGACAAAAACTAAAATAATTTCCCCTAAGAACAGGAACAAGACAGGAATGCCCACTCTCATCACTCCTGTTTGAAATAGTACCAGAAGTACTAGCCATTGTAATCAAACAAGAAGAAGAAATAAAAGAGATCCAAATTGGAAAAGAAGAAGTAGAATTGTCATTATTTGCAGATGACATGATATTGTACATAGAAAAACCTAAAGACTCTATCAAAAACCTACTAGACTTAATAAATTAATTCAGCAATGTAGCAGGATACAAAATTAACACCCAGAAATATATGGCTTCTTTATACACCAATAATGAGAAAGAGAATTTTTTTAAAAATTCCATTTACCATTGTAACAAAAAAATTAGGATACCTAGAAATAAACTTAACTAAGGATGTGAAAGACCTGTTCTCAGAAAACTACAGGACATTGAAAAAAGAGATAAAGACATAAACAAATGGAAGAAGATACTGTGTTCATAGATTAGTAGAATCAATATTAAAATGCCCATACTACCCAATACAATCTACAGATTCAATGCAATCTCCACTAAAATACCAATGGCATATTTCAAAGACCTAGAACAAACCCACCAAAAATTCATCTGGAATAAAAAAGGACGCTGAATAGCTGCAACAATCCTAAGAAAGAAGAACGAAGTTGGAGGGTTCACAATACTAGATATCAAGCTATATTACAAAGCCATTGTTCTCAAAACTACCTGGTACTGGCACAAGAAAAGACATATAGACCAATGAAACAGAACATAGAACCCAGAAATCAACCCAAGCCAGTATACTCAATTAATATTTGACAAAAGCATACAATGGAACCAAGACAGTCTCTTCAATAAATGGTGTTGGGGGGAAATTGGAGAGATACATACAAAAAAATTTAAACTAGACCACCAACTTACACTGTAAACAAAAATAAACTTAAAACGGATAAGGACTTAAATGTAAGATGGGAAACCATAAAAATTTTAGAGAAAACCACAGGCAGCAAAATCTCAGACATATGTTTTAGCAATATATTTACTGATACAGCTCCTAGAACAATGGAAATTAAGGAGAAAATAAACAAATGGAACTACCTTAAAAAAAAAAAAAAAAAAAAAACTTGTACAGAGCAAAAGAAACCATCAGAAAAACAATAAGAAAACTCACTGCATGAGAGCACATATTTATCAACTAGAGGCCCAGTGCATGAATTTCATGCACTGGGGGAGGTGGAGAGGGCCTGAGCCCAGCCTGCTCCTCTTGCAGCCCAGGACCCCTTGGGGGTTGTCCACCTACTGGCTTAGGCCTGCTCCTGGGGATTGGGCCTGAGCTGGCAGTTGGACATTTCTCTCGCAGTCTGGGAGCCCACACTCCTTACCGCCTGCCTACTCTCTGCTCCCTACCACTCAGTTTGCAGCTCCTTAGTACTGCTCCCGAGGCAGGAGAGGCTCCTGCCACCACCACTGCACTTGCCAACCATCAGCCCAGCTTCTGGCTGAGCAGTGCTCCCCCGATGGAAGCATACAGACTACTAGGGGGCAGCTGCTGCATTGTGTATCCCCCCCTGGTGGTCAGTGCACACCATAGCAACCAGTTATTTTGGTCGTTCCACCATAACAATCATTTGGGCTTTATTATATAGACTAGAGATCCAGTGCATGAAATTTGTGCCTGGAGGGGGGTGTCCCTCAGCCCAGCATGCATCCTCTCCAATATGGGACCCCTTGAGAGATGTCCTACTTCCCTAACAAGATCAGGCCAAAATGGACAGTCGGACATCCCTCTCATAATCCAGGACTTCTGGCTTCCAACTGCTCAACTGCCTGCCTTCCTGATTGCCCCACTTCTGCCTGCCACCCTGATCATCCCCTAACCATTCCCCTGCCAGCCTGTTTGCCCCTAACTGCCCTCCTCTGCAGGCCTGGTCCCCCCCTACCCCCACCCAACTACTCTCCCCTACAGGCCTGGGTCCCCTGCAACTGCCCTTCCTTGCAGGACCAGTAACCCCCAACTTCCCTCCTCTGCCAGCCTGATCACTCCCAACTGCCCTCCCTTGCAGGCCTAATCCCTCCCAACTGCCCTCCTCTGCTGGCCATCTTGGAGTGGCCATCTTGTATCCACATGGGGGCAGGATCTTTGACCACATGGGGGCAGCCATCTTGTGTGTTGGAGTGATGGTCAATCTGCATATTACTCTTTTATTAGATAGGCTAGAGACCTGCTGCATGGGTGGGTGCCAGCTGGTTTGCCCTGAAGTGTGTCCTGGATCAGGATGGGGGTTCACCTGGGGTTTGGGACAGCCTGGATGAGGGTCCTGTGGTGTTTGCAGCACAGCCACACACCCCAGCCACCCAAGGTGAAGCCCTGGTATCTGGGATTTATTTATCTTCTATAATTGTAACTTTGTAGCCTGGAGTGGAGCCAAGCCTCCTGCTTGCTCTGTGGCAGCAGCCATTTCTATTGGGATTTATGCATCTTCTATAATTGAAACTTTGTATCCTGGAGTGGAGGCCAAGACAAGCCCGGGCTTCAGAATCTTGGCTTCCTCCATTTCTGGGGGCAACCCTAGCTTATTTCTCTTTTCAGTTCCTTGGCTGCCACCATTTTTGTTTGGATTTATTTATCTTCTATCATTGAAACTTTGTAGCTGTGAGTGGAGGCCTGAGCTTGCAAGGGCAGGCGGAAAGCTTGGCTTCCTCCATCACTAGGGAAACCCAAGCCTCCCTCCTGCTCTCTGTGGCCACAGCCATCTTGATTGGGTTTATTTGCATATTCACTCCTGATTAGCTGGCAGGCATGGCTCGTGGGCATGGTTTATGGGTGTAGTGGAGGTACAGTCAATTTGCACATTACTCTTTTATTAGATAGGATGTTATCTCCAATAAGGGTTTAAACTCTAAAATTTATAGGGAACTCATACAACTTAACAAAGGAAAGATAAACAATCCAATTAAAAAAAAAATGGGCAAAGGACCTAAATAGACACACTTTTCAAAAGATGACATACAAAAGGCCAAGAGACATATGAGAATATGCTCAAAGTCACTAATCATCCAAGAGATTTAAATCAAAATGACAATGAGGTACCATCTCACACCTATAAGAATGGCTATCATCAACACATCAACAAACAACAAGTACTGGCGAGGATGTGGAGGAAAGGGAACCCTCGTGCACTGCTGGTGGGAATGTAGACGGTGCAGCCACTATGGGGAACAGTATGGAGTTTCCTCAAAAAACAAAAAATGGAACTCTCATTTGACCCAGTAATCCCACTTCTAGGAATATATCCCAAGAAATAAGAAATACCAATAGGAAAGAATATATATGCCCCTATGTTCATAGCAGCACAATTTACAATAGCTAAGATTTGGAAACAGCCTAAGTGCCCATCAGCAGATAAATGGATTGAAAAACAGTGATATATCTACACAATGGAATACTATGCTGCTGTAAAAATGAAGGAACTCTTGCTATTTGCAACAGCATGGATAGACCTGGAGAACATTATGCTAAATGAATAAGCTAGTTGTGGATAAATATCATAGATCTCACTCATTTGTGGAATATAATGAACTACATAAACTGATGAACAGAAATAGAGCCAGAGGAAAAAATATTTTCGAAAATAAGAGAAGTTATACTCTTATTTGCAGGTTTTTAATAGTTCCTATGACTGTTGTAATATTATACTGTTAGTACAGTTTTGGTAATATTATTATATTTAAAATCATTTTTCTTGAAAAAAATTATGTGCAATGTGTTAAAACTATTTGATACAATATTATTATTTTCTTATGTGTCATATTTTTGCATAATTTATTCTGAAACTAGCATTTGAGTATTCATGACTATAATGTTAATTTTGGATTGTATATTTAATTAATAAAATAAATTTGCTTTCTTTAAAAAAAAAAGATTAGTGGAGGCTATCTCCTGAGTAAGAAACCTTCAGAGGCACATCACTCAACAAAATGATTAGGGGAAGACAGCAGTATAACGGCATAAGTGTTGTGCCCCGGTTTTGTGATCCCCAAAGACTACCAGGGAGTCAAGTCCTATACAATTGCAGAAAGCCTGTATTTCCGACTAGTTTGAGCTCGGTCCCACTTACACCAACAACGGCGTGGCAGGAGAGAGCAAACTCCCACAAGTCAAGGGGTTTTATATGGTGGTGATGTCACTGCTTTGGCTGACACTGATTGGTTGGGTGAGGACTAGGGTCCAGTTACACAAAATGGAGGATAGCTCCTCCCTGCCCCACAGTGGCCTCAGGAATTAGCCTCCCCCCACCCTGCACTCTCAATAAGAGAAGAGACATCAGAGGCTTCTCAGAGCAAACAGAATTCAAAAAAATAGTTCAGAAAAGTCATTTAAAAAATTTTTTTTAAAGAAAACAAGAACAAAAGTGTAGAAATAGTAGTAATTGAAAGAATGTGATATAGTTTAAATTCTATAGTATGTAGCCTTGTCAGGTTGGCTTCTTTCACTTAATAACATGTGTTTATGAAACCTCCATGTTGTTTCAAAGCTGATAGCTCATTTCATTGTAGTGCCGAATATTATTCCATTGTCCAGATGTACCACAGTTTATTTTTTACCTACTGAAAAATATTTTGGTTATTTCCAAAATATAAGTGCTGGCAATTATGAATAAAGCTGCTATAAACTATATACTGCTTTTTGTGAAGACATACATTTTCAACTCCTTCGATTAAATACCAAAAAGATATTTGATGAATCAAATTGTAAGAATATGCCTAATTTTGTAAGAAGCTGCAATCTGTCTTCAAAGTAGTTATACCAATTTGAATTCACCTAGCATTGATGAAGATACCTGTTTGTTGCTCCACATTCTTGTCAGCATTTGGTATGGTCAGATTTAGGTCATTCTAATAGGAATGAAGTAGTGTCTTTATTTTTTTATTTTTAAATTAAGACTTTACTTTTTGATAAAAGTTTAGGGCTCACAGCAAAAGAGACTAGATACAGAGCTTTATTGTATATCCCCTGAACACACATGTTATAGCTTCTCCCATTATAAACATCCTCCACCAGATTGATATACTTGGTAATATTGAAGACCCTGATTGATACAGTATTGTTACCCAAAATCTATAGTTTGCTTCAGGGTTCACTCTTGGAATTGTATTTTCTATGTGTTTGGACAATTGCATAATGACATGAATCCATAATTATGGTATTATATGGAGCATTTCCTTTTTTAAAAAAATTATCTTCATTGGTGAAAGTATTATAGATGCTCCTTTTTTTACATTCTATTTTGATGACTAATTTGCTTCATTTCATTAACAATATGAAATAATTTCTTACAATAATTAACACAAAAAATTATGAAGATATAAAACTAAGGAATTATTGCTCAAAAATGCTTGCAAATTTTTATCTCCCACTTTAGTTATTTATATTAGAATTCAGCAACTAGTAGTACCTCAGACCACTCCACAATACCTGCCACACTCAATATACAGTTTTATACATTAATGTATATAGTGAAGATTGCCTATTACTCGTTTCTTCTTATTACTCTTTTCTCTCAATATAACACATACAAAATACTTGGTTCAAAGTGAAATTTCAATAACCACTTAAAACAGTAAATAAACTAGTTATAAAATTGAGAAATATTTTATTTTAAAAAATAAATTAGGTATTATTATCAATTACCAGTGATTGTATAAGTAGAGGAGCAATTCCAAAGACAAACAACAGACAAAATATTGTTTAAACATCATAATAAAATATAAAGACTGTAAAACAGCATGCCATAAAAATAAATAGAAATCAATTCTCTGAAGTAAAATGTTATTTGAAATCAGTGGGAGAGTTCATCTTGAAGAGTGGTTCTCTAACATCCAAGACATCTCCTGTAATCAGGGTGTGCAGAATTAACAATGTCTCAGAAGCAAAAGAAAAAGTAATAATGGGAAGGGTAGTCTCTGTTGAAAATGCTATTGATAACACTTTTGGGATGTTCAGGAGAATAAATTTCCTTAAGGACCATGCAAGAAAAAGCCACAGCACCTTTAGTGGAAGAGAAATAATAATCAAAGAACAATATTTTTCTTCTCTAGAACTTTTTTTAGAGCTTCTTTGACATCTTTGTTTCTCAGAGAGTAAATCAAAGGATTCAACATGGGAGTGACTAGAGTGTAACATAAGGAGGCCACTTTACTCAACTCAGGGAAACTGTCAGGAGTGAGATACATAAAACAGACAGCACCATACAGTACACTCACAACTCCCAGGTGAGAGCTGCAAGTAGAAAAGGCTTTCTTACGTCCCTCGGTGGAGTGTATCTTTAGAACTGTGGACACAATATACATGTAAGAAACAACAATAACTATGACAGTGGGCAAGATAATGATGCCTGATAGCAAAAAAGAAGTCACTTTATAAATAAAGAGGTCAGAACAAGATATTCTCTGAATTGGACGAGTATCACAGTAAAAGTGGTCAATGGCCCGAGAAGAGCAAAAGGATAAAGTAAATGTCATGCTGGTCTGAAGAACTGAGGTGATGCAGCCACAAAAATAGGAGCCAGCCACCAACTGAGTGCAGAGACGTGTTGACATCTGGACAGAGTACAGGAGTGGGTTGCAGATGGCAATGAAGCGGTCATAAGCCATGGCTGCCAGCAGAAATCCTTCAGTCACAATGAAGAGGGCAAAGAGAAAGAGCTGGGTCATACAACCTGCAAAGGAAATGGACTTGCTCTCAGACCAGAAGTTGATCATGGCTTTGGGTGCAATAACAGTTGAGTAGAAGAGATCAATGAAGGAGAGGTTGCCTAAGAAGAAATACATTGGTGTGTTCAACCGGGGATCAGTCATAATAATGGCCATCATCCCAACATTTCCTATAAGGATCATGGCATATACAAAGAGAAATAGCAGGAAGAGGAGAACATGGAGCTCTGGGCGGACTTTGAAGCCTATAAGAATGAAGTCAGTCACGTCTGTGTGGTTGCTTGTTCCCTTGTCACCCATGGAAGAAACCTGCTGAGAGGCACAGGGCAAAATATATAAATGAACCCTTGGCTTTGATCCTAGATACAAATAATATGTTTAATATTAGGATTCACAAAACTATTTTATAGTCATTATATATTTTAGCCTTATAAAATTACTGTGACTTACCTTTAAGACAATTCTAACTGATAATCAATCAAACAGTTAATTTTGTGTCCTAATTCCTATAAGAAGTGGGATTAGGTTTTTTTCCTGAGAGGCTGATGTAATGTCATTCCACCCAAATGCCTTTCACATTTGAAACTATCACTTCACTGTATATTTCTGACTCGTGATTTATATATAAATTTGATGTCATGAAGCACTGACTGGAAGAGAGAACAAATCCTATATATTAAAAGCCTAATATGCTAAGTGTCTGGCAGTCCAGCCATCCATTCAACCAATCAAAGTGTAATATGCTAATAATACGCTAAGGTTGCTTAACCAAATGCTATGATGTTCACTGACCACCAGGGGGAAGAAGCTCTGGGGTCCAGCCAATTGGGACTTAGTGAGTGGGCCAAACACACCCTGGAGCCCTTCCATTGTCCCTCTCCAGCTGGTCAACATCCCTTGTCCCTTCCTAGCCCCAACTGCGCACCAGTGAGTTCCCGTGGTCTGGCCTTGCCTTCTTGCAATCCTGGACTGCTTGAGGGATGTCAGAGAGCCAGTTTTGGCCCAATACAATGCAAGGCAGATGGACCTCACTGGACTACCAATTTTATACAGAAATCATGAGTTAGAAATATACAAAGAAGTGATAGTTGCAAATGTGAAAGGTATTTGTTACATGAATTCATGCACTGAGCCTCTAGTAATTTAATAAATTACATTTGGCATGCAGTTTTCTTGTTTGGATTAAGAGATACTGGGGGTTGCAATAGTCTAGTTTAGCAAAATTTAACTTTAAAGGCTTAATTTAGAGTACTAGCTGAGTTAAAGTAAGCCACTGAATTTAAAAATTACTTACAAGGTGCAATGACTTCTTGTGAGTAATAGAAAGTTTGGATTCTGATGTAATTTATATTCTACTAAGATAAAAGTTGTGTACAACCAAACATAAAAATTATTAGCACTTGCATGCTAAGATTTCTCTCACAGATGAGACTTCAAAGCCTATTCATAGACACAATTTCCCTCATTTCCTCAGCCTATGGCTCATAGTTTTTAAGAGGCCTATAGGTAGTCTAAAACAATGAATTCTTTAGAAATGAATACTGAACAAAATATACATATAAAAGAATTGTTGGTTGCATGTTTACTTACCTGGACATATTGATAATTTCCATAGCCATCAGCAATTCATTTACTAGACAGATCAACTAAGAATTTGAACTCCTTGTATTAACAATATGGACACACTCTCTCTTCCCTAATGCCTTTATATGCATGATTCTGCCCAGACAATAATAATGATAGAAAACATATGTGTTTTCCAGACACTTTTATATTCCGGACACTTCTTCTAAATGTTTTTTATAATCCATACAACAAAAATATGTGGTAAGTACCACTATATGCCCCAGTTTACAGATAAGGAAACATTGAAATGAAATCTGTTGGAAGCCACCTACTAGGGTTGAATTCAGAATTAAGCCTAGAAGCCTGGCTCTGGAATCCATGCTCTTATTCACTGCAAGATACCACCTTTGATAACAAGCACTTCCTGTTCCTTTACTGATTTACTGCCACTTCAACTTTAGAGTTCAGTAAAAATTTATTATCTCCAAAATATATTCCTCCATTCTTTAATCTGGGTTAAAATATCTCTGTATACATCATGCTCCATACTAAGCTATTATCACCACATTTTAATGTTAAATATTAATAATTCTTTACTTGACAATAACTTCTGTATGATCAGAACTTCAACTTGCCTTCATATATTGTCAGCATTTATGTTCCATGCCCCTGAAAAAATGGCAATTAATCATTGCATATTTATCATGTAGATAAAAATTGAATGATATTTGAGCATGCAGAATTAGAGGAAAACTTGAAGGTTGTAATACTGCAGTGGTGAGCACAGGTTTAGATTTAAATAGAGGTTAAGTTCCAGTGCTGCTGCTCTCATTTTCAAACTGGGACCTTAGACAAGTTCTTCATAACTTGCTTATATTGCTTATATAACTTAATATATTACTTAATTAAGTAATTGATGTGATTTTACCAAGTTACTATACCACTGTATCCTCATATAAAAGAGGAATAGAACTAATATAGCCCTTAAAGTATATAATGAAATACTGCAAGTAAATCACTTAGCACCATTGGTGACAAAGCACTCAGTATATAATAAAATAATTATGTGTAAATATTAGCCATTTTATTATATCTTGTCATACTCAGTCCCATAATGCACACCAAAATAATCAGTGCTAATTAGGTTGAAAATTACTAGCATGTATATGAGCTTTTTTGGGTAAACCATTCTAAGTTGAGAGAAGGAATCAGGGCAACTATTAAAAAGTTTTAAAGAATAAAGAAATCTGAGAGAAGTGTAATATTTTGCCTGGAAAAAAAGAGGACTAACAGGAAAATGATATGGTGACTTATTGTTATACTTTCATTGTTCACAAATTCCATCAAAAATTAAACATGCAAATAACTGCATTATAAAGGAACAAGATTGTAAATGTACTTAGAGTCTGAAAAGGCATATAATATCTAAGCAGTGAAAAAAGCCTGAAGTAGTTGTGAAATATTTTTTGAAAAAAATAATGTATTTTATCTATATTCTTTTAATTTTGTCTAGGGACAAGGATTAGATCATTTTAATCTTCAAGATTTATTCCTATCAAACTCATTCTAATGTTAATTATGACTGAGGACATTTATACCTGGAAAAGAGACATTTATACCCAGAGTCATCAATAAACAAGTAGTCAGTTTGTGATTTATTATTTGTCAAAAACTCACATGATTTAAAATTTACTTTTACTTTATGTTGTTTGGTAACTTGTCAGATTCTGTAAGATGAGGCAACAGAACTCCAATGTTCACCTCTTGTTATTATTTTAATTCTAGAAAGAAAAAACATAAAGTAATTAATAACTATGTTCTGACTATAAGTACTAAAAAATCATTAGGTTAAGATAAAATGAACTACTCCACCTACAAACTGACAAAGGCTTGTTCATTATCTCAGTGTTATATTCTTCCCATAGAAAAATTGACTTCTCTTCCTCATGGTTCTACTTAACTGTTCTTTCCTTTAGTGGTTATTCCTTGGAAAATGTTGTAGTCTTTTGCAGAAGAGAGACAAAGTAAATTTTCCAAATGATGCTCTGAAAAAAAATTGAAATAAACCCAGAAATTATATTTTATAGTTATGTAAAGTGAGCCAGAGGACTCAATCTGCAGGATTGCCTCTCTCTTGCATTCTTGGATGTTTGAATGCTTTTAAAGAAGAAAAATAGATTGTAGTGAATATGTCAGTAGAGGCCATATGCCATCTGGAATCTCTAATAATATGCCAAAATACCTGCAGCAGCTATCTATAATGGCTTTGATATTAGCAAAACAGTGTAACTTTTTCAAATAATTGCAGCATTGGGGTTTCCCTCATCTTCTGGGAGGATATCCTCCTGGGAGACAGGAAGCAGAAGTAAGTTATTAAGATATGGAGGTCCCAGAGCCAAGTTCCATGAGCACTGCAGAGGCTCTTCTAGATTAAAAAAGAAAGAAAGAAATAAAGGAAGAAAGGAAAAAGAAAGAAAGAAAGAAAAAAAATTAAGAGGAGTGGGGGAAGAGCCAAAAAAATCAAAAGTAAAAATTCATATAAGAGTTTCTTTCCTTGTGTTAATCCTTTGAGGTGGGGGGAGTCCAAAAGGATCTTTGATCAAAACTTCTTTGTTGAGAAAGAAGCATTTGAATTTACCATGACAAAAGGATTGGTAGGAACTAAAAATACTTAAGAAAGAAAATATTATTCTTCATAATATAATTTATAGGGAAAGTTTTGTTCCTACTTATAAAGTTCACTTCATTGTCACTTAGAACCTCTCTATAGTTATTCTTTATTAATATTTTTATATTGATTTTAGAGAGAGAGAGAAAGAATCATTGACTGGATGCTTCCTGCACACCACCTACTGGGGACTGAGCCCGCAACTCAAGCATGTGCCTTGACCAGAATTGAACCTAGGACCAATCACTCTTCAGGCCAATGATCTATCCACTGAGCCAAGCCAGCTAGGGCTCTCCATAGTTATTCTTTACCCATATTTTGTAATGAGGTAATATTCAAATTGACCATCACTTCAACACACAAGATGGCCTCCCCCATGTGTTCAAAGATGGCCACCCCCATGTGGACACAAGATGGCCAGCAGGGGAGGCTAATTGTGGGCAATCAGGCCAGCAGGGGAGGGCAGTTAGGGGTGACCAGGCCTCCAGAGAAGAGCATTAGAGGGTGGGTGGGACCAGGCCAGCCGGGAAGGGCAGTCAGTGGGTACCAGGCCAGCAGGGGAAGACAGTTGGGGGTGAACAGGTCTGAAGGAGAGGGCAATTAGGGGTGACTGCCTGGCAAGAAAGGGCAGGTAGAGGTGACCAGGCCTGCAGGGGAGGAAAGTTGGGAGGGACAAGGCCTGCATGGGATGGCAGTGGGATGGGACAAGGCCTGCAGGGGAGGGTAGTTGAGGGGGACCAGGCCTACAGGGGTGGACAGTTATGAGTAGCAGGTCGACAGAAGAGGGCAGTTAGGAGCAATTGGGCTAGCAGAGGAGGACAGTTGGGGGCTCCCAGGCTGACAAAGGAGGGAAGTTAGAAGTGACTCAGCCATCAGGATAGGGCATTTGTGCGTGACCAGGCCTCCAGGGAAGGATAGTTAGGGCTGAACAGGCCAGGAGAGGAAGGGAGTTTGGGGTGACCAGGCTGGCAAGGGAGTGGTTAGGGGTAATCAGGCAGGCAGGCAGGCAATCAGTTGGGTACCAGCAGTCCTGAATTGTGACAGGGACATCCCTCGAGGGGTCCAGATTGGAGAGGGTTCAGGCTGGGCTAAGGGACATACACACGCACCTGTGCACAAATTTCATTCACCAGGCTGTAGGTAATAATAAGTAGACTAGCATGACCATGACAGGGGGGAAAGTCCAACAAATGCCCTCTAATTCA